AGCCAAGAAAGCTTAAATTTGAGCAAACTGATTCACGTGTTATCTCCCCCTTCCCCTGCCCTCTCCATGCTCTTCTCTGAGTTTCTGCTTTACTTTTTCAAAAGAAGGCAGTAGAGGAACACAACACAACCCCAGCTTGTGTCTGTGAGCAAAGCAATGCCTCCAGCACCCAGGAAGGCAGGAAGGAGCAGAGACCGGCTACATAAAAAAAGGTTAAAAAAAGGCAGGTCCAGATGAGAGAGGAAAGGGAGATGCTACATGAAAAGCAAATATTATCTCCACTGCCTGGTATTGCAAGTGACCCCACAGATTCAGAGGCTTCAAATTCCTGGGGCAGAAACTCCCCAGAGCAAGATGAGAGCCTACAACTGCAGGTGGGCAATGTGACAGGATGACCAGACCCCAGGCATGCCAAACCTACCAAATCCCTTCATCACTGTCACCACTAGAAGTCTTCCTAAAAAATGGCAGGTTTAGCATCTCTTAGGTTTTCACCCTCTTGCTCCAGTTCTGTCCTGCTAGGATTCTGCCAGCAGTAAAACATCTTCTACCTCTGCCCACAAAATGTCCACATATACAGGGCCTCAAACTATTTATTTATGAATTCCACCTCAGGCAGTACATAACCTCTAAACACTTCTGTAATGCAGACCATAAGCATCACTGCTGATTTTACAGGCTACCTCAAAGCATCAGAAAACCCTCATCACTTATCTTCAGCACCAACTGCTCAAAGAACCTGCTTGTACTGACCACACAGGCATTAGAACCAGTGCATTGAATACACAGCCTGTGTAATAGGTCTTCTCCTCGCTGAGTGGCAGCTGTCCAAAGGAGTTTTTTTCTTTCAATCCTTGTTTTTTTAAAACAAACTTCCACTAACATGGAAGTGGGAAGCACTAGTTTATATCCAGAACTCTTTGACGTCTTGGAGAAAGAGTTCTTTTCCTTGTAAGCCTAAGATCTCCAAGCAGAAGGACTTTGGAGTGCTGGCTGACAAGAAGCTGGACATGCCCCAGCCATGGGCACTGCCAGCCCAGAAAGCCAAACGTGTCCTGGGCTGCATCCAAAGCAGCTGTGAGGGAGGGGATTCTGCCCCTCTGCTGTGCTCTGCTGAGAGCCCACCTGGAACCCTGCATCCAGCTCTGGGGGCCCAGCACAGGAAGGACATGGACCTGCTGGAGTGAGTCCAGATGATTAGAGGGGTGGAGCACTTTCCCTGTGAAGACAGGCTGAGACTGTTCAGCTTGGAGAGGACAAGGTTCTACGGAAAAAACAAAGCTGGAGGGGGACTTTTGACAAGATAGTGTCAGGACAAGGGGCAATGGCTTTTATCTGCAGCAGGTTTAGATTAGATGTTAAGAAAAAATTCTTTACTGTGCAGTGGTAAGGTATTGGAATGGGTTGTCCAGGGAAGTTTTGGAAACCCCATTTCTGGAACTGTTTGTTCAAGGCCAAGTTGGATGTGTCTCTGAACGACATGGTCTAGGTAAAGGTGTGCATGTCCACATCAGGAGTCAGGATTAAACAATATTTAAGGTCCCTTTCAACTGAGTCCAATCCAATCCAATCCAATCCAATCCATTCTAAGGTATCCCAGGAAAAAAACGTTTTTAAACCTTACTGAAAATGAGTACATCTCTAGTGATTTGTCCTTTGGACAAATATTAATATTTATCCAAAGGACAAATTAATATATTAACTTACACTTTTGTTTTGTGACTATCCGTTTATTACTAGTGTACAGGGTTATCAATTTTCTAATTTTATATCTAGGCATGAAAAACCATGAAGACAGACATATGACTGTAATATTTACCGCACTTGGGTGAACTTTCCCAGAAGATGCTCATGGCAAAAAGAGCGCATCTTTTATGTCTGCCATCCCAGCCACACCTGGTGTCTAAATGGGGGTTAGAATTGGCTAAGGAGACAGCTGTACTCTAAAAAAACCTCCATAAATATGTGCACTCACCTGGGCAGAACTTGAAAATTACATCCCTGAAACATAGGTAAGCCTGTCTATGAAATTCTGCTTTGCATGAAATTCTACTGCATTGAAATGAGCTCTTTTGGAAAGGGATCTTTCAGCTGAAGAATTTGACCCCTTGTGCATACCCTCCTTAAACCAGCAGGCATGTACCTACCCCAACACCAAAATACAAAAACCACATGGAAATGGTGGAAGAAACACATTTGACTGGTTTGAAAGTGCTAAGGCAAACACTACTTCTAGAGAGCAAATTTTTATTAAAAAACCCCAACCAAAACAAATACCACAATACTGTTCTGCATCTCCTAAAGAATGTAACAATTTGGAGAATGGACACCTGCAGGAAATACCTGGATTTACTTGCTTTTGGGCTTCTCAGAGAAACCAGAATTTCTCGGAATTCTTGAGATTTTACTGCAGCAAGCAGGTTCCGCTTCCTGATACCCCATTTAAGATACTCATTGGCATGCAGCTCGAAACTGGAGCATAAATCCAAAATGCTTATATTACCTTGCATTAGAGAACTGCATAGCTTTTAAGGACTTTCAGCTAGAAGCTGAATTATAGTATTACCCCAGTCCTGATTTATTCTTTTAAATTATAAATAATAGCAAATGAACCATAAAAGTACATTTAAAATTTGGCTGCTTCTTGTAAGAGATTAAACCTCATTTAGCTAATGCATTTGTTGCAGAGCCAGACAGCAGGGATTGTAAACTACTCTCTAAAGACTGCTAGGAAGAAAACTGTGGGCCTCTGAAATGAGTACCTGGCTATTTTACCATTCAAAAAGCCTGAGCAGTTCAGTCACACATATCCTGTGTGAGTCATCACATGCTTCCCAACAACGATGGGGGAGGGGCAGGCAGGAAATTAAAAAACCCAGAATCATGTATGTTACAATAAATGTTGGCTTGCTGAGGAAATGGAGTTTTTGGAGATACCTGTTCCCATCAGAGCACTTCCCCATGCATTTATACCAATATAAATGTAAAAGGCAGGAATCATCACAGGATGATTCCTGCCTTTTACATTTATATTGGTAGGTGAGTTTTGAGCTCAAATATGACTATTTCTGAGTTCTGGGTGGGGAAATTACATGCCAGAAGTGCCCACAAAGTGCACACCCTCTATTCCCCACGGTGGCCTTAGAGACACATGAGATGCTGATCAGGGCAGACTCAGCTCTGACCAACACGAGAGGCACGATACAATTGTTTAACAAATTGCTACCAAAATCTGAAAAAAAAAGAAAAAAAAAAAAAAAGAAAAAAAGAAAAAAAGAAAAAAAAAAAAGGAACAAAAGAACAAACAGTTTCTCACCTACATGTTGGCTATAAATCTTGATGCTGTGACGGTGCCAGGCTGCATGTGACTGCACCACCCCACAAGTACTGAAGGTAACACAGCTAGAAAACATTTGCCTGTAAAGAGATACTTCTTCCGTCGCCCTGTAGCTCTCCTGACCATCAGTAACCACTGCCAGCAGCCTCATATGGCCTTTGGCAGATTCAGTGAACGGCACTGAAGATGTTACAAAGATGATTCAAAATATCTTAAATGATCCTTCAGCAACTAACTCCAATAACACTTTGAATCTTGGGGTCACTAAGAGCATTTCTCTGGACTCCAGGCATTTCCAAAGCACATGACTCACTCCTGACAGGATCAGACTAAGTTGAGACCATTCAAAGCAAAGCCATATTCATAAAGGATTCCCACATCCACTCTCTGAGGACAGGCTTGCACAGACACTTTCAACATAAGTGATGTAGGGGGAAAAAGCGAAAGATACAAATCAAAAACAGCAACACAAAACACAGGACAGTTTCTTTTAGTGATCTCAAAACCACCTTCCTAAAATAACAAAACAGTCATTTGTAATTCAGATGCATTGATCCACAAAGAGCTGACCAGCAAGCACCAAGAGAAACGATTTTTTTTGTCGGCTCTGTAAACGGAAAACCACAGGTAGCTTCTCAGAAGTCTCTTCTTCTGATGTGATCTTTGGTAACAGATTCAGTGTGCTGAAATGATCTTTGGTAACAGATTCAGTGTGCTGAAATGGCACACTTGGTGGATGAAGGAGATTACCCCCAGCCTCAAGGGCCCAAGGTGTGGCCAGGCTACTGTCAACGTGGGATGCCAGCAGGTCATGGTAACAGCCCTACCTGCAGCACAGGAGTGTCTGTTCAGGGAGCACCAGTTACAAGCAACAAGTTGGGTGGGAGAGCCTTTTAAAAGTCCGAAAAAAATCTGAAATTCCCCTTGTCCCTTTGCCTTGTGACAAAGCCAGCAGATCAAAACAGCTCCAGGTCATCACCTAGTAAAAAGAAGACCACCAGCAGGCTGCAAACCCACCGAGATCCTGCCAGCATGCCAGCACCCAAGCGGTCGTGGAAAAGGCCTATGGGGAGCACAGCTCCAGTGCAGATAAAACACACGCCAGGCTGCCACGTATCACGGTACTGCATCACAGGACCAAATATGTCCAGTGGAAAGCGCCGCTGGGATACATAACAATTGTACTCACGGCTCCTTTTAAACCCGTGCCGCTCATTCAGCAGGTCTGCGGACAGAGAAAGGCTGCGAAAAGCCTGCACAGCGCAAAAAGCCTTCCTGAGCTTGGCATTGTGCAAGAGCAGCATTTTGGGTAGAGTTCCGAGAGGAAATTACCCAACCTCGACGACAACCAGAAAGAAACCTAGCCGGGCGGGGTGGGAGCGCTTCCCGAGAGCGAAGGGGCTCCGCTCCCCGCTGCCGTGCCCGCGGCAGCATCCCCGCCGAGCTCCCTGCGCACGGGCTCCCCGGGGATTCTCCCACAATCCCCCTCCGCCGGCGGCACAGGCGAGAGCAGCCCCGCCGCTGTCACACGGGGAGAGCACCCACGGGCGCACCGGGACCGCCGGGGCCGAGCGCCTCCTCCCCCGCGGCCCCGGCGGCGTCGGGCACCCCGGGCGGCGGGGCCCCTGCCCGTCCCCCGAAACCCAGCCGGGACGGCACTCACCGAGCAGCGGGGAGGGCTCGGGGCAGGGGCCCGGCGGCGGCTGGGCGGGCGGGGAGCGGGCCCGGGCGGCGGGCGGCGACGGGCGGGAGAGCGGCAGCGAGAGGTTGGCGGGCGGCGGGCGGCGCGGCGGCGGCTCGGGGCTGCCCGGCGGCCCCAGGGCGCTGCCCGCCAGGTAGTAGAGCAGCGTGGCCGAGAGGTGGAGGGCACAGAAGGCGACGAGGAGGCGGCAGGCCCGCTGCAGCGAGGTGCCGGGCAGCGACGGCTCCTTCATGCCGCTGCGCTGGTGGGGAGCGCCGCCCGCCCCGCGCCGCACCGCCGACGGGGGACGGGGACGGGGC